CAGGCGAGGTGAGGCGCACAGTGTGCCAGAGAGAGGACCGGTGGAGGCGGCCAAAACTCTAGACGCGTTTTGAGCTCCAGAGTCGTTTAATGGGACTCGAACCGAAAGTGTGACCTCACCAATGGATTGCTCTCCGAACGAGGAATCCATTGGTGGGGTCACACGCTCGGTTCGAGCAAAAGTCAAACTCTGGAAGAAAGTTTCCCGTCGTTTCCCGTGCTGGGTAACCTGCACTCTTGCGTTGCACCCCCGCCCCGATGCTCCGTTCCATCCCATCCCCGCACGGTGCTAAAACAAATCAAAGCAACTAGAGCGCCCTCTATGTATTTATGACAGCTTCTCCCCGCGTTACCGCCAATTCACCCGCCAAAAACAAAACAAATGAAGGCGAAGCGATGAAGTGCATATGGCTGGGGTGGCGCGTCGCGTCGCCCTGCTCCCCTGCACCCCCTGCACTCCCTCCGCGCAATCTGCGCTTCCCCGGCTCGAAGCTGTGCTCGGAGGAGGCAAGGCCATCTATTCGAATGGTGTCATAATAACCCGAAACAACCGCCTTTTTTTACGCATCTGCTGAATTCACCTTCATGCATGTGTGTCATTTAGGGCGATGTGTGAGGGTTACACTGCATATGTGCATACTCAGGCGCAAAAAAGGAGACCTCAGATTTGTTGTTTCATAAAAATCTAAAATTTTCTTTAAAAAAATTCTAAATTTTCTAAAAAAATTTGGAAACCACTGTCTTAACTTCGAAATCGGCCCAAATTTTTGCCCTTGATAAAATCTGCCCCAAAGTTAAAACAAACTTTAGTTTCTGTAATGATAAAGCCCTGGAACAGCAACCACGTCTGACACCATCAAAATGCCGAGTCGAAGGTTCGAATACCGGCGTTCCTTTCGCCTTTTGCACCAGATTATTGATCAATGCCTGATGACTGTCGGCACCTCCCCTCGTGGGTCGGCACACTGTGCGAGGCTCGCTCCCTTCCGGGGCATCATTCTTACATCAGGACACTAATGGCGCCGGGCTGCTGCAGTGGTTGCAGTGGCGTGGCGTAGCGTGGCGCCGCACCCCGGCCGTTTGGATTTGTGTACAGTACCGCAAAGTAACGAGGTGACAAGGCGGTGAATCTGCCGCCGCGTTGCGTTGCGTTGGCCACCCTGCCGGACAAATCCCGCCTACACTGCTGCCAACCGCTGCACACAAAATAAGTTCAGGCGGTAAAATGTAAAAAAAAATGTCTTTTGCCTTAAATGTTGACCGAGAATACGGGCATGAGAAACACACCCTTTTGTTCCTACCCCCCAAGCGTTTTGATTCTAAAAAATTAGTGCTGGTGGTGAAAACACTAGGTCCGTTGGAGGTATGACGCAACAGCGTGGTCACTTTTATTTGTTTGACACTTTTCCAGATCCATTCCTTCCCTCGCGGAGAAACATTATAAGGCAGGGAAGTCGATCGGAGGGACAATACATGGCACAACATGTTGTGCAATGCTTGTGTGTGTGTGCGTGTGGACCCCCACCCTCACGGTGTGGGCTTTGTGTGGTCGAATAGGAGGGGAAATGGGAGTGGGGTGTTGCAGGCAGGACCGGGGGTAGGGCGTTCGCAGGCCAGGTTATTAGCTGAGGGATTTAAAAGACATGTTTATATGGTTAATAACCCCCTTTGCCGAGCTCCACACTTTCTTTCTTTCTTTCTTTCTTTCTTTCTTTCTTTCTTTCTTTCTTTCTTTCTTTCTTTCTTTCTTTCTTTCTTTCTTTCTTTCTTTGCAGCCCATATTTTAAACAAAACTTGGGCTTGATTCTTGACCGAGGGTGATTGTTCAGTGCTGCAGTGCCACGTCAAATTGATTCCCGTCTTTCTTCCGAACGTCAAATGCCCCTTTTAAACGATCAAGGGCTGCACGTCAGAGGCTCCGCGAAACAGACACGGCGTCGAAAACTCTCTCTGAAATGTGCTCCCCGTTTCGGCAAAGCGTCCCCGCTCGGCAGTGCTCGGCAGCCATTCCTGCGCCGTTTGGTGCGCCCCTCCCAGCGCCCCTCTGCCACGCCCCGCCACGTGTTTTGACGGCGCGGGCGGGGTGGGGCGGCGCGGGCGGGACGTTCCCGCGTTCCGTTCCGCCCCTCCACTTTTCCGAAATGGCGCGCCGTCTCTCTCTCTCTCTCTCTCTCTCTCTCTCTCTCTCTCTCTCTCTCTCTCTCTCTCTCTCTGTCACTTTATTGAAGAATTCCCGAGCTTCCATTTTATTGTTTTCGCGCTCCTGGATTTTATTTCGCCCCGATAGTGTTTTACGGTGCAGCAAAGCGTATCCGCGTGGCGCTAGTACACTGCCATGAATTAACTGCCAAATTAAATTTTCGCCGTATATTTTTAAAATTTACCGATTTTGTTTCGCAGTTCAAGCACAATAATCTCTCGCACCGAAACTGAAAGTGCTCTAAAAGTTAATGACTTTCGGAATGCGTCCTTCTCACTCAGTCCCCTAGCGAGGATGGCAGGCCGTGGGCAAGTCAGGGCCAAGCCCACCCGCATCGAAACCCGTTCTTTTTATACGGCTTTCTGGAAATGAATAAATTAGCACGGCTATGTATGTACATCAGCAGCACATCTACTCGACACGGGATGCCTGTCTGCCCACCCCTCCCCTGCTCCCCCACCCCCTGCTGCCGGTGGCACTCAGTCGGTGTCTACAAATAAAGTGGCACGTCAAAAATGTTGACGAGAAGTCACAGTTTGCGGGCGAAAGGACGAGCGCACCCGCTCATTCATTCATTCATTCATTCATTCATTCATTCATTCATTCATTCATTCATTCATTCATTCATTCATTCATTCATTCATTGCCGGTCATATCCCCAAAAGTTCATCTACCACTCAAAACTAACCATACTCAGCACCCCCCCCCCCCCCGTTTTACTTTTCTTTCTGGCAGTGTTGTGGCACCGGTAATGCGAATATGATTTATCTGCGTTGTTATGAAGTGGCTGGCCTAGTCTTGCCTCCCCCTCGGCATGGCCACGGCATCGCCCCGGCGTGTCACAGTGACTCCGCGAGAGGCGCGACGGGGCGGGACGGTTTTATCCTCTTGAGTGGCATGAAATGGATACACACAGCGCGGGGGTACACTGTGCCAAAATCAAGGCCGCCAGGACAATAAATTCATGCAACGTGATTTTTATTTTTTACGACATTAAAATTTGACTTTACAAACTTCATTGCTCTTGGAGCGAGGAATCCGTTGGTGGGGTCACACAGTCCCATTTAACGACTCTGGAGCTCAAAACGCGTCTATAGTTGTGGTCACCTGCTCCGGTGTTCTGGCTGGCAGCCTTTGGCAGCCGTTGGCACGGCCGTGCCAGATATCGCGAGTGCGTCACCTACTCTGCAAAGCGCGAGCCCCGCTGGCTGCGACTACTGGGCACCCTCTCTGACCTTGGTGTCAGGCTGTCAGCTCCGTGACGCCTAGTCTCTGACACGACCCGACCTAGGGCACGGTGGGCACGGCACGCCGACCGCGCGGGCAGCGTGCCTGCCTGCCTGCTTGCCCGCGCACGCCAGCCGGGCAGCCAGGGCAGCCAGCCAGCTAATGGGTGCGCGGCGTGCGCGGTCCTGTGGGACCGCAGCGTGCCACCGCGCCACCGCGCGCCACGCCTCCCGGCATCTGTTACACCAGGCAGTGTCACCAGGCACCGCAAAAAAAAAAAACACCGCAAAAGTGGGACTGGACAAAAAAAAATATCGCATCACCATGCTGTCTCAGTCTCACTGCCTCAGAGAGACTCGGCCACAAAACTTGAATTTTTACCCTCATAAAAATTATTGCTAAAATCGTAAGGTCCCTTATTGGCTACAGAACTTCATGAAAAAATTGAAATGTCCTTCGGTTTTGCTTTTAAAAATTGAGCTGGTGGCGGTTTATACCGGTGGAAAGCAGTCCTGGGACTTCCCGATCTCTGTAAATTGAAGTACCTGAATTTTATTTTCATATTTATTGTATTCGTTTATCTATTATTTGTTAAAAAATGAAATAAATTGATGTTTTCCAAAAAAAAAAAAAAACAATTTCATTTTTGCGCGACCACGCGTTTCCTGGAGGTGGCGCTACCTTCCCCTCGCTTCGGCCACCCAACACCACTTCGCCATTAGACGACAGAACCACTTTTTTTTGTCGTTTCATCTTTATTTTTTTTTGGGGGGGGGAGAGGGGGATTTTCGTCTCGAAGCAGGTTGTTGGCAATTTCAAACCGGCCGCCAAAATCTGGAGGGTGAATCTGCGACCCTCCAGCGTTCGGCCCCTGCAGACTGGTTCCGAGAGTCGCCCGTCTCTCTCGCACACACGGGCGACGCCCCACGGCCCCACGGGTGCGAGAGAGACGGAGCGACGGAAACGGCTGCAGCCTTGCGCCCCCCTCCGTGATTGAAAAACAAGTCCCTGCAAATAAAAGAGCCGTGAAGGAAAGGAAATGGCGCTGTTTACGAGTGGGGACGCAAACGCAGTGGCGGAACGTCGGAACGAGGGGAGAGAGAGAGAGGGGGGGGGGGGGGGGGGAGGGGGGGGGGGAGAAGGGCGTAGGGTCGACAACCTGGAGTCGGAGCCCTGGAGCGGCCTGGAGCCGATCCGCCGAGCAATAAGAAAGGACTTGGGAAAGAGAGGGGCCTTTTCCAAGTTCCTGGATTCGATGACGCCCAGTCGGATGGAGCGCGATGTCTCGAGTGCAGGGAGCCGAGAAGTCGAATGGATTTCAGGAACACTTTCAAAAACTCTGTAAAGACGTGTTTTGAGCCCCAGAGTCGCTAAACGGGACTCGAACCGAATGTGCGACCCCACCAATGGATTGCTCTCCGAACGAGGAATCCATTGGTGGGGTCACACGCTCGGTTCGAGTGCCGTTTAGCGACTCTGGAGCCCAAAACGCGACTAGAGTTTCGGCCGCCTCCACCGGCCTGCTGGCCCACTGTAAGTTGAACGTGCTCATGTGACTTTTGGTGTGTCTGCAGGTGTGGTTCCAGAACCGGCGCGCCAAGTGGAAGAAGCGCAAGAAGACCTCGAACGCGTTCCGCGCCGGGGGGCTGCTGCCGTCGCACGGCCTGCCCCCCTTCGGCGCCATGTCCGACTCGCTGTGTCCTTCCACCATGTTCGGCTCGCCAGACTCGCGCTGGGGGGTGTCCACCATGACGTCAAGTAAGTCCCCTTACAGTGGCCCAGAAGACCGCCGGGGGCGGCCCGAAATCCCGGACGCACTCGAACCGAACGAATTTTGGCCGCATCCAACGGTCTTCTGGCCCACTGTGTACTGCCAAAACTAAGGCGTACAGTCACCATGCTCTTTATGAAGTGCACCACCATTTTCACCTTGATCCAGACAGATCCCAGCCCAGCCTAGCACCGTTCCGAAGGTACCATGTACCCGTTGGCGCTCTTGCAGGTCAATGCTCTTGCTCTGGTTCGAGCGCTGCCGCGGCAAAAAAAGAGGGGGGGGGGTCGTTTTATGGCCGCTTCTCAAGTCGCTTCGCTGTGTGACAAATCGCTTCTTTTACTCTTGAGCCACGCCCTCCAACAGACAGACAGACAGACAGACGGCGTACCTCGCTGGGGCGCATCGCTACTGCAAACAACTGCAACGCCAGATTCACTTTCGGATTGCGTTTCGTCGCGTGTTTTGATTGCGATTGCACCGTCGGATTGCATGGCTTCGCACACGCTCCGTCCTTCGTCGCCTCGTCCCTCTCGCACTCGCGGGCCTTGCCGTCGGCATGCCGTCGGGGTGCGAGAGAGACAGCGGCGCAACCGCCGCGATCCGGTTCGAGGCGATCGCACCTAGGCCCGGCCAGGCCCGCGCACAGTGGACTTGCCAGAAGACCGGTGGAGGCGGTCGAAACTCCAGACGCGGTTTGAGCTCCACAGTCGCTAAATGGGACTCGAACCGAACGTGTGACCCCACCAATGGTTTCCTCGTTCGGAGAGCAATCCATTGGTGGGGTCACACGATCGGTTCGAGGCCCATTTAGCGACTCTGTAGCTCAAAACGCGTCTAGAATTTTGGCCGCTCCGCGGCTCTTCTGGCCCACTGTGGGCCGTCCAGGCCGTCCAGGCCGCCTACCCCAAATTCCACGTCGACACGTGTGCTTCGACTCGGCTTTGCCTGACTTTGCCTGCCGTTGGCCGCCCCGTTCGCACCTACAGTCTAATGCCTCCCCCCTCCCCTCCCCCTCCCCTCCCCCTCCCGATACCACTCGCCGGCTCAATGATTCACCAGAAGCCAGAGCTACTGTGCCCCCCCCCCCCCCCAACCCCCTCCCCTGCCCCGGTCATGGAGCAATAGAGCAGTGTCCAGCACTCACATACATTCATTCATTCATTCATTGTACAGCTGTGGTCTTCAGGGTAAGAAGGAGTGGGTTCGAATACCAGCAGTACAGAAACACCCACAGTAGCCGGCCTAAAGAAGGGGGAAAAGATTTGCAGTTCTTGTCTATACTTTACTGTGGTCAAGTGCTGCTTTTTGTATACCTTTCAAGTGAAAATGGTGGTGAGAATTTTTTCGCACTGGTCGCCTGGGATTTACGCTCACCCATGTTGTTGTTGTTGTTGTTGTTGTTGTGTTGTTGTTGTTGACTGGTCCCGTTGTTCTGCAGGCCTGACGCAGCTGAGCCAGGGCGGGGTTCCCATGAGCAGCTTCGGCCAGTCGCTCGGGCAGCTCAACCAGGGCGGCTCTCTCGGCGGCGGCCTCAACGCCGGGCTCAACATCGCCACCTCCATGGCCTCCAACGGGTCCTCGGTGTACCCCGGCCACTACGGCCTCAACACGCTGGGTAAGGCGAAGTGCTGCAATCCATTGGCACACGTGCGTTCACGTTTAGCGACTCTGGAGCTCAAAACGCGTCGAGAGTTTTGACCGCCTCCACCGGTCTTCTGTTCAGGCGACCTCAAAAAACCATCAGTCGAAGACGGTGACTCTGACTATTTCCGCTTTCGGAAAGGTAACACAAAACGGGCACGTTGTTCTTGCCTTGCCGGGCCCCGCCGAGGCCTCCAGCGCGGGCAGCGAGTGAGGGGGCGAACAGTCGGAGACTCGGACGTGTGAAGCGGATGTGCTGCGGGTAGTTGAACCATGGAGCCGTGCGGTGCCGTGCGGTGCCATGTCCCATGGAGCTGTGAAACGCGTCCCTCCGCCCTCTCGGCTGCTCACGGCCCCCTGCGACACGCCGGCCGTGCAGGCACCAGCAGGCACGCCGAGGCACGCAGTGGGCCAGAAGGCCGGTAGCTCTGGACGCGTTTTGAACTCCAGAGTCGCTAAATGGGGGTCGAACCGAACGTGTGGCCCCACCAATGGATTGCTCTCCGAACGAGGAGTCCATTGGTGGGGTCACACGTTCGTTTCGAGTCCTGTTTAGCGACTCTGGAGCTCAAAACGTGTCTAGGGTTTTGGCCGCCCGCGCCGGTCTTCTGGCCCACTGTGCGGCAGGCAGGCAGCGGCAAGCGCAGCGCACCCTGGCGGCCGGCCGGCGAACCAGGGCGTTGCTCGCGCTGCGCTCGATACTGTGGCACACTGTAAGACTGCCGGCACACTGCCGTGGCTGCGCCCTGGCTGCGCGGATGCGAGCATTGGTCGCCAGGAGCGCTGCGTGTCACCTCATTAATTTCAATCAGGCCTTCGTGCCTTCGTCAACGACCTCGTGATTCCTTCCATTCATTTTCCCGCCATTTTCCCCGGCAAGGGCCCCAAAGCGCACAGTGGACTAGAAGACCGGTGGAGGCGGCCAAAACTAGACGCGTTTTGAACTCCAGAGTCGCTCAGCAGCACTCGAACTGAACATGTTACCCCACCAATGGATTCCTCGTTCGGAGTGCAATCCATTGTTGGGGCTACACGTTCTATTCTAGTCCCATTCAGCGACTACGCGTCTAGAGTTGTGGCCTCTGCGGGCACTGCAGCGGACTCACAGTGTCTCTTGTTGCAGATCCCGTCTTCTACGGCCATGACTCGAGCGGCGCGGGCATCGGGGTGGGGAGCGAGACTCTCAACTGACAGCAACTCTTTCCGCGCCACACCCCGCCCCGCCCCGCCCCGCCCCGCCTCGCCCCGCCCCGCAGGGGGGCCCCCGCGAGGCGCAGCACTGTCAAAAAGGAGGTTGCTTCCCGGTCGGAGGCCCCCTTGGCACGAGGGACACCAGACTTGCCAAAAGTTGGTCAAAGCTCAGTGATGTTGTTTGGCTATATTCTAGGATTTGTAAGGGAAAAACTAAAAACCCAGTCATTTGTGCGATTGTTGTATGTTGATTTATTATGTATCAAAACGGCGATGTTTATGCATCGCTTCTGGTGATATTTAGCTGATTAATTGCAGACTAAACGCGTCTCCCGTTCTGTTTTCAAGTGATTTGTGCTGAGTTGTTTGTCTCGGTCGTTCTAATTTTAAGTTCCTTCCCCTGGATTCTGGCCCTGTGACCCCCAAACATTACTTCAACTTGTATACGAGTCTATCTGTTTGGAAGTGCGCCCAGCACCCCGATTCCCATCGATTTTACACCGATGGGTGCGACGCTATTTTGATAGGATATTGTTAATATTTTAGTATGCGTTTTCGGAAATGAGAAACTAAACCTTCCTCTTTTGTTTTGGTTGGCCACGTGTTGACGCGACTCTACACGAGCAGTCGCTCGGGTCGAGTCGACTCGGCCAATGTGTGCGTGGGACAAAGTTTAATTTGTACATTCAGTACCTGCTCTAGAGATTATTGTACTGCTCCTTCATTATTGTTAGTGCTAAGAGTACTCCATTTTGTGATGTATGACAGAGCGAGAAGAGGCTGCGAGGGAGTCACTTTTGACTCCGCGTTTGAAAAGTATCTACTTCATGGCCTAAACTTGTCCAGACTTCGCCATCTAGCGACTCTACGCGGTTAGTTTGTTCTTCGCATCCCAACCTAGTATACGATGAATTGTATACGCGGCTGAGGGGCCTGTTTTCAGCCCTGAGACTTACCAGTAAAAACAAAGTATACGATTATATAATGAATTATTCTGTGTATCTTATAAGGTGGTTCATGTCTGAATCACATCTAGTCCTCGTGTTTGAACTGTGGATTGTTTGGACGTTTGTGAAAGGGGTAGCACTTTCGTCATAGTACGTGCTCACTCACCACGGTGTTGTAATTTTGAGAGACCAAACTCCTTTACGGCGTGTTTCTGGCCTAGGCTGTATGATATCGAAGAAACAGATATCTAACGAAGCTTGGAAATTTTTCCGCTTTTTGCATTGCTTGGTGTTAAAATTTGGAATAATTTGTCATTCGGCCGACTGAAAATAATAATTTCATGTTCTGTGCGTTCGTGAGACCGCTAGTCTCATGGTGCGTCGTATGTGTTAACAAAATGTGTCTAATTTTTTGGTTGTTGCGCAGTCTCGTTATGTAGGTAACAATAATGTAGGTACAGTTTCTGCGTAAATGTTGGTTACCATCTTTTCCTATGTTCCACTCCAAAGCAAATAGTCAATGAGATCGAATCATGTCATCATTCCTAGTAGATATTTTTTATCCTTATGATAAACAATGTGTTGTCATTTGATTTTCTTTTTCAGTGGCCAAAAATGTCTAGATAAAAAGTATATTATTATTGTACAATAAACAGTGTACATAGTCGGAAGTTATGCGGTGTCCTAATTTCTTCAGCTTCAGAGCCCTCAACGAGACTCTCCTCGCTGCTTTCCCTTTGCTTTTCAAAAACAGGGCGTTTCGCGCGCTTTGCGAGCTCAGCGTGGCGAGAGCGGGAGAGAGCGCCTGCGAAGAACGGGACAGGCCGTGCCGCCAGACACCGCTACCCGGACGGTGGCCTGCCTCCGCAGGGGCCGAGGCCGCCCGAGGCCGCCCGAGCCACAGAGGGCCAGGAGACCGGCGGCCAAGACGCGTTTTGAGCTCCAGAGTCGCTTACCAGGACTTGAATCGAACGTGTGACCCCACCAATGGATTCCTCGTTGAGAGAGCAATCCATTGGTGGGGTCACACGTTCGGTTCGAGTCCTGTTTAGCGACTATGGAGCTCAAAACGCGTCGGGAGTTTTGGCCGCATGCGCTACCAGGCAGCGCGTCGTATGTCGCACCACGTGCGACTTGCAGCCCGGGCTTTCGGCTCTCACGGCCACACACACACACACACAGGGCGGCCGTTCCCTTCATGTTCCCACCGATGGGCGATGGGGCTCGTGGGAGCCTCTAGCGCCTCTAGCCGGCACGCCGGTGCACCGAGGATCGCGGTTGGCGGTGGCCGCCGTGCCGCCGTGCCGCCGACACAGCGCGGCCCTGTGTGCCCCACGACGCCGTGCCTCCTCGCCGTGCCCCTGCTTCTTGGTTCTGGCACCGGGACGCTAAACAAACAGAGCCGGGCCGGAGCCGCCGATTCTGCTCGGCCGTCCGGCCCGTCCTTGCCGGCAGACCGATTCCGCGCTGTCGCTCTCTCTCTCTCTCTCTCTCTCTCTCCCTCCCTCGGGGGCGAGAGAGACGACAGCACCGTGCGAACACGGCGGGTTCGCCACACTCTGTGGACATGTTTTCAGATCTTCCCCGCTCTACAGTGGACCAGAAGAACGGCGCAGGCGGCCGAAACTCGAGACGCGTTTTGAGCTCCAGAGTCGCCGAAAAGGACTCGAACCGAACGTGTGACCCCCACCAATGGATTCCTCGTTCGGAGAGCAATCCTTTTTGTGGGGTCACACGTTCGGTTCGAGTCCTTTTCGGCGACTCTGGAGCTCAAAACGCGACTTTGGCCGCCGGTGCTGGTCTTCTGCTGGCCCACTGTGCGGCAGTAGTTCGCGAGTCCGCCGCGCGATGGCAGCACGCTGCAGAGGGGTGCAGTGTGCCAGCAGAATGTGCTGACGGAGGCCGTGTAGACCGTGTTGCGCGAACGCTGCGTCTGCCTGAGGCGGTGACGCGGTGACCAGACCGCACACCACCGGAAGACCGAGGTCACCGCTCGCGGTTTCCGGTGGTGGAGAGAGACAGCTGTGAGACCGACCAAGGGAAAGAAGAGGAAGACATAGGTACCACCAGGGAACTCCCACACGACCCTAACCGCGTCCACGAGGAAATTCCCGCTCGACACGCGTGCAACCGAATCGAACTGATTTCAGATCAAACACGCAATACCTCGTTTGGCCGGCGCGTTTGGTTCGAGTCCCACTACACCAGAAAAGCACAGCTCAAATCCAAATGGAGGCTTGTGCCCGGGCCGCAGTGGGGCCTCTGTCTGAATCACGGCGCCGTCTCTCTCGCACTCGTGGAGCGACGGCACGGCCTTCAGCCGCGGGGCTTTGGCGCCTTTGGCGAAACGAACGGGCGGCACGAGTGCAGCATGGGGCGTCAGTAACAAGCTCCCGAACAAGTCTGGCGTCCGAGCGGAGGCTGCGGGGCTCTGTCTCTCTCGCACTGGTGGAGCGGCCCGTTGGGGTGCGGAGCTCGGAATCAACCCGCTGGACGACGGCCGGGCCGCCCCCTCTCTCTTGGGGACGCTCTCGGGGATAACGAGACAAGTCCGATGACGCAGTGGGCCACACTGATCATGGTTAGTGTAGGCCCGGCCGATCCGACACTCTTGAAGCTGATTGTACCGCCGCGTGGGGCATCGGCGTAGCCCTTGTGTCTCTGTCGCACTCATGGGGCGGTCCATGGGTGAGCGAGAGAGACAGCGACGAAGTGACAGCGGGTACAGCCCCCTTGGCTGCGCCAACGCAGACAGTCGTCTTCGTCGCTCGGTCTCTCTCGCACCTACGCGGGACGCCCCATGAGTGCGAGAGAGACGGAGCGACGAAAACGACTCAGGCTGGCGGTGCGTTTCCGCACGTCCGGCACACAAAACAAGGCGGCTGTCGGGGCGAGGCTGCAGTCCCTCTCTCTCTCTCTCTCTCTGCACATAAATCCAGTGGCGGATTACCGGGGGATAACCACCGGGATCAAACGGCACCGAGCGGCCCGCGGAGTCACGCTGAGTCGCGCGCAGCGGCGCTGGGACCGGGATACAAACTAAACGCTTGGAGGTCGGCGGCGTGTCGGCGGGGTGGGGCGACAAGACAAGGCGGGGCGACAACGTGCTCGGAAAGACGATGCCAGGGCACCTCCGTGTCTCCTTGGTCAGCCTCGCCTTTCTGCTTTCAGCGAATCGGTTGTACTCCGCCGTCAGCCGACCCACAGCTCAACCAGCTGAACATGCCGAAGCCGAGGCAACTGTTTCAAATCTGTTTGTCTACACTTCCTTGATCCCTTTCACAGTTCGGTTTGTTATTATTAGGAATTGACATGAAATTATCTGCTTGGATTTTTTTAAAGGTTGATTTATTCAAGCAAGCCGGAACTTGGAGGAGACATCGCAGTCGGAAGATATCAAAATCATTGTCAATGCGACATAAGAAGTCAAACAACTATAATAATGAGGGACAACCCCACTGTCATCCTATCATCAAATGACATCAACTTCATACACTAAATCAGAGATTTTGTTTTAATTAATTTAGTCTAAAATCAAAAGGTTAAAAAAAAAAAATAGTTTTCACTGCTGTCTTTGGAAAGTGCTTTCTATTCTTAAGTGTTACATGAATAAATAATCACAGAACAAATAGTTCCTTGAACTTTTTTTTCATAACTGATATATAACTAAATACTTTCAGAATAAATGGCTACTAGAACCTTATGAATCTAGGTACATCATTTATCACAAGTAAAAATAAAAAAAATTAAAATTGGGGTATAGTCTGGATAAAAATACATTCAATGCAACAAACTGCATAATTATTTGAGTATTGATATGGCAAGAGAATCAAATACATAAGAATACTTATATATATTTAAGAGATCAACAAAAATAATGATTATGTCCGAGATTAGGCACTAACATAATCAGTAACACTAATAAAAATAGATCGAAAAAAACACAAGCGCATAAATTGCATTGAAATACATTTGTGTCTGGTGAGAGGACAGAAAGCACGACATTCATTTAACAGGATGAGATTGGTCAAAATTTCTTGGCTTTCTTGGTCTTCTTTTAGGGTTTCTATCATTTGGTCGAGACATAAATGGGATTGATGAATCAGATCTAAAGTGCTTAAGCTCAGCTTTGGTGGGAGGCCTTCTTCTTTCATTTTCTTTCGCAGACCCAGAGGATGATGATCGTTGCCTACCAGAATACCAGGCTTGAGTGGACTCTCTCTCCACAGCTGGTGCTTTAGTTTCAGGTAGAGGGCCGGTCTGCAGACATGAGCACATTTATCAGTTTTTGAAGTGCTGCTACTGATTCATGTAAGTACTGAAGTAGATAGGTTAGAAGAAGTAACTTACATTTGACTCCAAAGGCATTTCTGTACTTGTGTTACTTGTGAAAGCTGTGATGAGAGCATCTTTTAGCGGCATCGTGTTCAAGATAGAAACCTGTTTTATGAATTCCACCTTGTCTTCCTCACTGCCAGCTGATAAAAAAGAAAGCTGGTTAACCAATCTCAAGTTTATACCTTAATACTCAAGCACACAGGAAAGGACATACCATCAAATTCAATTTCTATACGAACTGGAAGATACTTGTGTGATTGATAATGTAAATGAATATACGCTTTACTCAGCTCCGAGCCAGCCTTATCATCGACATGACAAATCAGCTGGACCTCAGTGGTGCTCACACTGGGGTGGATTGCAAGTGATGGAGAGACTAGTGACTGAAAGCAGAACAAACACAGACAACATAGTTAGTATGAACAGTGATCAATGACACAAGGCAAAAGTTGTTTAAACAAACCTTGGCTTGGTTAAATTGCTCTCGTCTCCAAATGAATAAGTTTACTTCATGTTGCAAACAACGAATGAAATCTGCAAGCCTATGAACTGATGAGAGATCAGCTTCCTCAACGCGTTCCCGAAAGGATCTGATTGAGTGTGGGAGGACAAAGTGGGCGGCTGTCCAGACTGCAAAATAACCATAAGGCTTAAGAAATAGTTTCCTCAAAAACATGCTTCCCAAGAAAGTTACAAAGTCAATGGACACTCACCAGATCCAAGTTTACTGAAAGACACGGAATACGTGTCACAAAGCTTGCCTTGATGGTAAGGTCTAAATGTTATATGCAAAGTCGTTTCCGTAGACTCATTAATTTCACAGCCTGAAAAAAAGAACAGGATACTTAGTAACTTAAGAACAGGTTTGAAATGAAGCCTGATGTGTATCACACCTCACCTCCCCACATCATGAACATTCTTTCACACTCTGGATCAGGTAACTTGTTTTCGAGCTTTTGTTTCTTCTTTCGTAGCTCCTCGATTTCTCTCTCCAGGCGGTCCTTGCGTTCTTGCCACTCAGTGAAGTGGTTGGGGACGTCCTGCTGCCTGTTCGACGCGTGACTTCTGTCCTTACGGTGGCTCCTGCCAAACATTTTTTTCCACAAGGGGACACACTGCAGAACTGTTTTACGTCAATCACTTGGTTTTCATGTTCTGGACAAATTTCCAGAGTCCTGTCAGCGCGTCACTCACAATCAAAGACTTGGAAACTAGGCTAAGGGTCGGACAACTTGTTGTCATCCGGCGAGTAGCGTGCGTGCGAGGGGTGCGGGCGCGAGGCGCGAAAACCGGGCTGACTGCGAATACCGATAGTGTGTTGCGAATAGAGCAAATCAACACTTGCTTGTTTTTGATTATTTCGAACGGTTTTCGCGTGTATTAGAGGACACTAGACACCAATCAGAAACTAGACACTCTCAGAAAATTTTAAAAAAAGTTTTGCAATCCTTATTTTTACTGGGCGAAATGAAAAGAAAATTGGCGATCACAGGCACTGCCGTGACGCTACCCCACGCTGAGAACGACGCGCGGCGCTACCCCAGGCGCGTGTCCCGGAGTAGAGACGCGGCGCGGGGAGGAGCCGTGAACCCAGCGACGCTACTCCACGCTGCACAGTGGGCCAGAAGACCGGTGCAAGCGGCCAAAACTCTAAACGCGTTAAGAGCTCCGACTCGCTAAATGGGACTCGGACCGAACGTGTGGCCCCACCAATGGCTTGCTCTCCGAACGAGGAGTCCGTTGGTGGGGTCACACGTTCGGTTCGAGTCCCGTTTAGCGACTCTGGAGCTCAAAACGCGTGTGGAGTTTTGGCCGGCTCTACCGGTCTTCTGGCCCACTGTGCGCAGGGCGGCGCCGCGCTACCCCACGCCTCAGGGTGCTGCCGCGCGTCGTGGCTGGTCGATACCCCGCGCCCCAGACTCCCTCCCGCTCTCCAGCCGTCCGGCCTTGCCTCGCGCATTGTCACCACCACCGCGACAGGCAATTCCGGGCTTCTGCTAAACCTGGCGACTAACTAGGGACGCGGACCCGGGCCGCCGCTCATCGTGATGGAGGCCGTGCTGGAGGCCGTGCTGGAGGCCCTGCTGGAGGCCCTGCTGGAGGCCGTGATGGCGAAAGAGGGAATCCGGAAGCAGTCTGCATTGCAATCACAGCCCTTTTTCTCATTTCCTTGCAATCAGACTGTGCGAAGCACTGCGGAGCTCTGCCGGCCGGAGCGGCCAGGTGAAGGACAAATCAGCGACCAAATGGACGGGCAATTGCAGGAGATGAGACGCGCCGTCCTGTCTGTCTGTCTGTCTGTCTGTCTGTCTGTCTGTTCAGTTGTTCTTTTGGTCTCAGGCACAATTTTCAGGAAAACAGGGGTTTTGTCCACTGCTGCCCCCACCAATGGATTCCTCGTTCGGAGAGCAATCCATTGGTGGGGTCACACGTTCGGTTCGAATCCCCTTTAGCGGCTCTGGAGCTCAAAACGCGTCCGCGATTTTGACTGCCACCGGTCCTGTGGCCCACTGTGGGGCGGTTCGGAGTCCGGGGCTGCATCCCTTCGCCCTCGCACCTCGCGCACCTTCAATGCAAATGGAAGTTGGCCATTTTGTGCTCGAGATGAGGGCCAAACGAGATCTTTCCGGGCGGCCTTCGTGTTATTCGCGTTATTCGCTGGAAATGGGGCGACTAAACTCATCTTGCCGCCGTAGTGCCGAAGTGCCGGAGGTGCCGGAGGTGCCGGGGCCATTATGACAAATGGAGCGCCGGCACGCTTTCTCCAAATCACGCCTAAATGTCGCTGGAGTGTCCCCGCTGGCCTAGCGGGCCTGTCCACGTTCGACTCTCGGGGCACTGTCTCAGAGGCAGTCGCTGGGGCTCGAACCGAACGTGTGACCCCACCAATGGATTCCTCGTCCGGAGAGCAATCCATTGGTGGGGTCACACGCTCGGTTCGAGTCCTGTCTAGCGACTCTGGAGCCCAAAACGCGTCCGGGGTTTTGGCCGCCTCCGCCGGTCCTCTGGCCCCCTGCGCTTGGCTCGTGCGCGGGCCGTGCTGCTGAGGTAGCCAGCCCGTTGGCCCGTCGGCCGCAACGGCGACAAAGGAACGAAGGCGCGAAGCCGCGCCAAGCGACGAAAACAAGGAACGGAAAACGCGACACAAAAGAGCCGCAAATCCCAGTTTCCCTAAGCCGCCTCCGTGTTCAGCGAATTAGGGTCCGGCCAAATAAATACCCCCCACCCCACCCACCCTGGCACCGTGCCCGGCACACCACACTGCTTGATGCACCGTCCCCAGGCAGGTTTGTCCGCAGCTGTGTGAGGTGTGCAAAGCTCCACCCCCCTGTGGAGCACTGCGCGGGGCTGCACACACACACAAACACACACACACACTCGACAATCTCACGCGCCACTCGACGCAACCAGGAGGAAAACTCTTCAACCCGGATAATGTGTTTGAAAAGTCTTCGTGTTGAACAAAAATCTGAATTAAAATTTTTATTTTTTATTGAATTTTTTTACGTCACATGTTTGGTTGAGTCCCAGCGTCTAGGATTTTGGCCGCCTCCACCGGTCTTCTTGCAAATCCACTGTGATGGCGATCCACTGCCGAGACGAGCCGCTGATTTGCTTATCCGGCACGCGATGCGAACTGGCCGGCCTATCGAGGTGCCATCAGAGAGCGACACTGTCGCGACAGACAGGCGGCCAAAGAGGCCAGAGAGGCCGAAAAGGCCGCCAGAAAAAGATTCGGCAATCGCGGAGTAAGCCGATTGTTGGCAACGGGGGCCTCAAAGGTGCTCAAAGGCCGGCCTGACCTCGAGGTGCAAATCCGCTCCACTGCCCCCTGCAGGCCCCGTAGCAGGCGCCACGCCGAGCCGGCGCCCGTCTTCATCATCATCACCATCATCTTCATCATCATCATCGACATCACCATCATGTCCCTTCACCATCCTCCTCTTCTCCTCTGTTCATTGGCGTGCACCGCACACTGCAGAGCAGCGCGCTGCTTGCAAACAACGCTGTGCGGACTCCGCGTTATGCATACCTCTTGACTACGCGGCCAGGTGTGGGCCAGCCAGCAAGCCGAGCGGAAAAGGATTTGACGCCTTCCGTACCCTGCCAAACAACAACAACAACAACAACAATCACAAAACGGGGATGAAAAAAAAATTACTATTTAGTTTTTGAGTGCGTTCTACCCGCGCCTCAAACCCACAACACACAGTGGACCAGGGAAAACTGGTACTAGTTGAAATCTGTGAACTCTCGACGCACGAAAATAACGATAATAAATACAACTATACAACTATAATAGAGATTGCCGTCAAATCTGGACAGGGTTGGCAGCCTGTGTGCCGTGATGCTCCATCATGCCATTATGCAGATAGCAGGGATGGAGCGCACTGTTGCCAACAGAACCACCTCGCCACTCTTCTGGACAGTTAGTTGGCACGCCTGCAGCGACCGCCGCGCTGGTTCGCGCTGGTTGGGGTGGCGGCCGCGAGGTGGCGCGGGGTTCGCTGCGGTCTGGGGTGACACACCGTGGGTGACACCGTCGGTGACGCGGGGAACGGGCCGAAGGGGTAGAGTGAGGTTAAGTTGACTTAAGTGAGGCCAAGTTAGGTCAGGTTTGGCCGCTGCGGCGTGAGCAGACAGACACTGCTAAAATAAATCCGTGCTTTGGTAATGTGCGGATGTGCTGGTTGTTTAGGTCTCGATCTTTAGAAAACTGGCATGAAAAACATTTCCAGTTAAAAATTGAAGTGGTGCCGGTTGCCTTCAACACAAGGGCTGAGCGTTCCCATGCTATGCCGCAACCAGCTCAAAAGCGGAGCCGCGCCACCGTTTTCGCGCAGTGATGAATCATTTCATTTTCATGTTGTTGTTTTTTCACCGGGGACATTTTTTTTCGGATCGCCAAATCAAACAAAGCCCGCCCGGAGGGCGCTTTCCCGAAACGGAAAGCGACTGGCGATGATGCGTCATGCGACCCCTTTTCCCTTTTCGGCCTTTGGCAGTGGCGCGGCGCAGAGCGGTGCGGCCAAAGGGAAGCGCGGGAAAGGGCGAACAGAGCGTGCTTTGACCGCGCCGCCCCATTTGACGTGGCACTCACGGTGGGCCAGAAGACCGGCGGAGGCGGGCAAAATCCCGGACGCGTTTTGAGCTCCAGAGTCGCTAAACAGGACTCTAACCAGGCGTGTGACCCCACCAATGGATTGCTCTCCGAACGAGGAATCCATTGGTGGGGTCACACGTTCGGTTCGAGTCCTACCTAGCCACTCTGGAGCTCAAAACGCGTCCAGAGTTCTGGCCGCCGTTGCCGGTCTGCCTAATTGTTTCGAAACCCATGCTGGCCCTTCTCTTCTAAAGGGTGACACGTGCCTTGCCGATTTGTTGTGATTCTTATCTCGACACTGCGAGTTGACATGAGGCCCCCAGCGGGGGGCGCGCGCCGCGGGTCGCGTCGGGTGGATTCAAAAAATGGCGCCAACGCGGCCACTTGGCGACCCGCGGCGCGGCGGCGCGGCGCATCTGGTCATGCATCTGCCAGTGTCGCAGTTTGATGAAATCAAAGGCAACCCGGTTTCGCGCCGTTTGAGCCCGCGGCTACGCGTTACACTGGCAATTCTGGAGTACCAGTTCAGGGTTTACGCGCAGAGGTGTTAACCCTAGTCTAGTCCCATGAGTCCCATTTAGCGACTCTGGAGCTCAAAACGGGTCCGGGATTTTGTCCGCCTCCACCGGTCTACGCCCGGGTGTAAACTCAATGTATTTAATTCAGGAATTCAAACAGCGACACCAGTTAAGCACAGCTGAAAACTCAATAAGAACGTAATCATTCTGCAGATGAGCAGGGAGGCGTTTACCTGTGCCCGGATTCACAGCCGTCCTAGCCATATTATTTTTGCATTAGCGAGGGGGACGATTTGGACGTCGCTCTCTGTCGCTCTCGGTCCACCTAACGCTGCCAGGTCGCCCTGCGCCGCTCTGCGTCCCCTAACAGACTCGGCAGGCGGTACACTCAACCCAAGCCCTCCATGCAAAATACGGAATTAATTCACTTAGACCCTCATCAACTCTTCCTCGCTGGCTGCTCGACTTTGTCCTCCATTAACGCTGCCCCCGCCGGTTAGGCCACTGCCAGCGCAAACCACTCAGCGCGCTTCTTTTAAAGCTGGACAAGGGAAAGGTGGAAAAGGGGGTGGCACAGTGGGTCAGAAGACCGGTGGAGGCGGCCGAAATTCCAGACTCGTTTCGAGTTCTAGAGTCGCCAAATGGGCTTCAAATTGAACG